CTTTAATATTGGGCAATTCTGCAAAAGCCTGGATTACATTCATCTATTCCAGGTCATCTATTCTGACTTCCTGGACAAAACCTCTGATACACATCCAATATAACGTAAACCCCAGAGAGACTGGAGTCAAACCCCTGAAGAAGTGATGAACCCTCATGAAAATATCAATCTAATAACATCAAAAACACGAGGTGTCACATAAAATGGTGTTCCTCAGCCAAAAGGACAATGCTGCCTTATGTTGAGTTTTACTTTAAACTAAAAATGAATACATGAAACTAGGATTAGATAATCTGATTTCCTTGCTGATGCTCGGGCATGTTCGACCTCATGAGGTTTTGATCTTGTGACCATACATTCTGACCCCTTTGAAATGGCGTCCTTTTAAACAGAATTGAACTTTAACACCAGTCCTCCTCCCCCAACCTTCATTTAAAATTGAAGGGGCGGGATGTCATCTGCACCGTTTGTGTTTTGTTCTGACCTTGAGAGGCCAACCATGTGAGGGAGGAGTGATTGTGCAGTAAAATGTTGACATCTGTGTGTCGTCAGTTTCCAGTGCTATAATGTCTGGTTGAAGTGTCTGCTATAAGACGGGTGTCAGGTTTCTCCTGTTAACAGTGGAGCGAACTCTCTGACCAATGTGTGTGGACAGCACCAAAAATAAAGGAAATAATAATGTCTACTGCAGCTCTGGAGCACCCCTCCTTCCTCCTATATCCTTTTGAACGTCCTCTAGCTGTCCATCCCATCCAAGTAATCAGCATCCTTCAAAGGAGCACAGCCAAAGCTAAAGCCAACTCAAACAGAGAGTGTGTCGTAATCAGGGCCATGAAGAGCCGGGCTTACGGAGCCCCCCCCCCCCATTACTGGGCAGCCATGGGCTCAAGATTAGAGCCTCTTCCTGCATTTGCCATTCAAATTCTGCATTAATGTTTGAAAGAGAAAAGGAAAATGCCTGCTCTTCATGGATAGATTAATATTTTAAGGCACAGAAATGTGAAAACATGAGCAGTAATACGTGAGTGAGCCGGTGTGTCTGTGGTGGCTTTGTGTGTGTTGTTTCAGAAGCTTGTACATGTATCTCTGTCAAAACTCAAGTGAAGCAAAATGAGGTTTGGGGTTATCATTTGTGACCACTTCTCATGTTGTGATTCCGTGCTAAAGCGTATTTTTTACCCAAATAGGTCTCTTAGTGATTCCTCGCTTCTGAAATACTCCGGCTTGCTTTAGAGTTGATTTATGATGTTTAGGGACTAGCCTACTGTCTGTGTGCTTCAGAAATAGGAGCTTCTTGTTTCAGGGGCACTCACTGAATGCTTGTCTGTCTGCACAGTACATAGGTCAGTGTTTTATGTGAGTGAAGAACCAAGTAATGTCTGGGCCTCCATGAATCTGCCATCTCGAACTGCCTGCTGCTCTGCAGAGCTGCTGCAGGTGATCCAGCCTGACGACCACAGCTTGTGACGTATTAAAATAGTTCCATAATGTCTTCAACTGGCACAAATTCTCGCCACTTCCTGATATAGAAATGACCACTCAGAAACTGAATATTTAGTTTTTCAGCTACATAATTAATCCACGCTGCTCTCAAAAGGCAGACTGGAATCATTATATTTATGAGCTTTACCTTTACTGTTTTAGATAAGTCTGTACTTGCAAGGAGAACATATTATTCACCCTAGAAAATAACATTATATTTTGAAACACTTCACAACGTCCTGTTTCCTCGTCATCATCTGGTGCCGCAGCAGCCATTGATTTTCCTCCTCTGTGTTTGCTGGCCTGATTGATTAGATCCCAGTTTCTGTTGTCAGGTCTTTGCCACGTGCATATGCTAGTGGGTTCACTTCAGTACGTGACTATATGAAAGCGTACATGTGTTCAAAAGATTATTTATAGGCTTAGACATGATTCACAGCTGTATTAGTCTGGACAGGGCTGTGTGTGTGTGTGTGTGTGTGTGTGTGTGTGTGTGTGTGTGTGTGTGTGTGTGTGTGTGGTGTGTGTGTGTGTGTGTGTGTGTGTGTGTGTGTGTGTGTGTGTGTGTGTGTGTGTGTGTGTGTGTGTGTGTGTGTGTGTGTGTGTGTGTGTGTGTGTGTGTGTGTGTGTGTGTGTGTGTGTGTGTGTGTGTGTGTGTGTGTGTGTGTGTGTGTGTGTGTGTGTGTGTGTGTGTAGTGTGTGTGTGTGTGTGTGTGTGTGTGTGTGTGTGTGTGATGTGTGTATTGGAAAACAAACGGGAGACATGGTGTATACTTGTATGTGATCATTGTATTCAGTATATCCTCACAAAACTTTTTATTTTATGATCATCTTTTTTTTATTTAATTGAACTTTTAATGCAAAATGGTACAACATGTACTGTTTAAATAACGTTTATTATATGTATTATTATGTGTATTATTATGAAGTATACTGACATTTGACTCCATGTTTAAATGTCATGTGGCACATACTGCACTGTGTCTTCTTCACTGTCTTTACTTCCTGCAGCTCAGTTCTTATGACAGCAATGATGTCGCCAAGTCCCTGCAATCATAGTGACAGTGCTTTGTAAACAGCTGTTTCACAGGGTTTTGTTGTTAGTGACACGCCTAACCTCCAGTCTAAGAAACCTGTTTGCTGCTGTTGTCTGGACTCTCACCTGGAACAGGGCCAACACGGTAGAAACTGCCAGTAGGCACCCCCACCCACCACCAGTGTAAATACAGGATAATAATCATATTTCCTACATTCAGAACAAAACATGTGTCTATGTGTAGCTGTTTTGTTATTTCAAATTAGTGTGTGCGCTCCAGCTAAGATGAATCAATGTGCAACTTTTAATAGTCCTCCAGTATGTCACCTTGTCATTAATCTGTTTTGTCAAGTTCACACTTGATGCCGCCCTCTCGCTTTTTCAGTCTGTAGTTTCTGTCCACCATTTGTTTAATTAAAAATGTAAATACTATCCACAGCGAGCTCTGATATTAAAAGTACTGGCTGCTATCTATCAAATTATTTCCTGCACTGATCATAAACTTTTTTCCAATTTCAAATAATTACAATGCAGTTTCTGCAACACACTTGCCCAGTGAAGCAACATTATTATTCTCCTCAGACAGTCAGGGGAACAGAAAACAGTGTCCAGTTCATTATGAAACATCAAGATTGTGTTAACTTGTATGTCTTTTATCTCAGACCAATGTCAGATGTTGTTCACATAATAAGTATTGGCAGCTATTTGTAGTGTTGTTGAATGAAAAGAACATTAGCATAATTACGCAATCACACATTAATAGTTAATGCCATCCAGGGGAATAATAACTGTTGGATGAGATGAGAAACTGATACGCCTTTATTTTGAAGTTCCCGACTCACAAAAATCACAAGGGTTATTTTTTTAAAATGTTTTAGCGTGTCTGTACGTTAATTGGGTGAATGACTTCTCAATCAAACACTGGTCTTTGTATTTAATGATTTAGATATCGTATCGTGGTGTCTTTGTCAAAACAGTAAAACATTGTATTGTTGTCCAAAGATTTTATTAAATATAGTTTTTGACATATTGAAATATGCTGATTAGATCAAGTTCTTCGAACATAACCCTGGCTTTATCTAGAAGCAATTAAGGAAATATTGTGACATGTTATTGGTTTATAAACTTGTATCAAGTCAGAGGTCTCAAATGAGATAGCGATTAAGGTAATAATAAGTCATACATTTCTGTTTGTCCTATCAAAGCTAGAAAGATCACATTACTGACAAATAAGTTTCAAAGGAAGACATCATCTCACTTAATAATACTATTACTGGAGGCTGATTTAATCACAGTTCTTATAATCAATAAACCATTATTTTTGCTCATCTTTACCGTCATTCAGAAACAGATATGTTGTGAATTTAACAAGCAGACAACCCAGATTTTGTCTCTCACAGGAAGATAGTTATATAAAACTGTAAAAGCCACGGTTGCAGATGCACATGTGTAATTTGTCGGAGGCAGTGAGTGCCGTGTAAGAGCCGAGGAGGGTCTTTGTTTGCGAATGTAGGTCTCCACTGAGGGGGCGGCTGCATGGCCCACTTTCTGGGACAGTTGTGCTGCGCATCACATGATGGGCTTGGCCTCGGGGCGAGTCAGTGAAGGAGTTTAAGATGGATGGATGGAAGAAGAGAGGATGAGTGATGGGGACGTTTACTCTTGCCAGTTGCTCTTAGAATCAACTCATGGTTACTGTTTTCACATCTGAACAGACCTACTGGACATCAGACTCCAGAGTTTGGTCTTTTACTAAATCTAAATATGTTCAAAGTATAAGACATATTAGCCAGGGTCACTCATAAAGGATTCCTCATTGTAAAATGCAGAAAAATATACATATATTCAGTCTTTGTACAGCACCAGCCAAAGTGTTGCTTACAAACTGGTTTAAAGCTGAAAAAGAATCATTGATCAGACAACAAAAACTATATTAAAAAAAGGGAAATGAATGGCCCATTGAAGATTTAATATCTCCAGGTTTTGGACAAGGTCAAGGCTTTTCTGCCACTTTTGATAGAATATGATTTCACCAGATAAAAACAACTTTATAATGTGTGCCCCCACTGCTTAACATCACCCAATATGCCCCGGTTGCTTCAGTCAACCTTGATGTTTACAAAATCAGTTAGTCCCTTGATATGTTTTTTACACTGGGTAAGTTTTAGTCAAAATTCAAGGTTATGTTTGTGCATCGATTAGATGCTGTTGGTACCTGTACATGTGGATAGATATGTAAATTGTAATCCCTGTACATTTTGCTGTATGATGTCCTTTTGTTGTTCTGTTGTTTATGTTTTTATGTCTTCATGTGGAACCTACTGCTGCAGGTCTCCCTTGAAAAAGAGATCAATGATCTCAATGGGATTTCACCTGGATAAATAAAGGTTTTGAATTTGAATCAAGAGAGATGTTGTAACCTTCCCATTCGTCAAATTTGTATTTTTAACACTGAACCTCCATCTTTTTTTTTCTTTGACAGGACATTGTGAGTGCTTCTAAAGATGTCTGATAGTGTTGATATTGAAGAGAAACCACCAGCCCCCCCCTTGAGAATGAACAGTAGTTCCCGAGACTCTTCACTGAATCACGCCACTAAACCGCTTCCAATGGCTCCTGAAGAGAAAAACAAGAAAGTCCGCCTGCGCTCCATCTTCCCTGGGGGAGACAAGAGTGAGTATCCTCCCCCGCACGTCACCCTCACCCCTGCCTCGCAGTGATACACAAAATGTACATTAACTCACTAGAAATCAGCCTGTAATCAATCTTTACTTACTTCCTGTAGCAAACAAGAAGAAGGAGAAGGAGCGTCCTGAGATATCCCTCCCCTCAGACTTTGAACACACCATTCATGTTGGCTTTGATGCTATAACAGGAGAATTCACAGTGAGTGTCTCTTTCTCCTGACATAAGACGTGCTTCTAAAATCTTCCTGTCTGAGAGCCGCAGGCAAGCATTTCTAAAATCACAATTCCCTAAAGTGATAAAGTCAGATAATGATTTTATTTCCTCCACATAAAGTTGGTAAGACTAGTGACTTGAATAACAATTGCTCCATCTCCCGCATCAGGTGAAACCTGTGCTGAAATAATTTTGATTTTATTGGTAAATGACATTTAGCTGCAGTTTCTGTTAGCAGTAGATGTGTTATTATCATAAAGCCCTGGATATGCAATGACACAGTGTTAGCTTCTTCTTTTATTGCCGGTTTAATATTCTTTACACTTCATTAGTTAATGTTTTTTCCCTTTTATTTAGAGAAAGTATTTTTCTTCTTTATAATAAACACCAACAATTAAGCACTCAAAGTTATATATAAGGACTATTGCACTCAGTCATCTCTTTAAAAAACCACAAAAAAATGCAACAGCGCTAAAACAAATCTCATAAAGCTTTTAATGTTTACTTTTTGATTCCAAATAGATGTGTATTGTAGCTTTCATTGAATCGTTGTCTTCTAATAAATGTGTTGCATTAATTTTAATGTATAATTGTTAATGATACATTTTTGCAAACTTATAAATGTAAATGATAACTATGTTTATTTACTGTTAAGTAACATATTTTGGTTATGGAAATATGCTTTATAGCTAAATAAAGCAACTGTAATACAACACCAGGACTATTCTAAAACTCTAAAGTTGTGTTTGTTATAGAACTGACAGCATAATTATTTTAATAAAAGAACTGAAGAAAATTACAAGACTTAAAACCACTTTTACACTCAAGAGCAGCATACTGTGTTCTGCCCTATTTGACTTCAACTTGTCCATGACATCAGTTACAAAAAGTTCCTTGTTCATTTGATATGCTATTTGCTTATGACGCACAGCACCCTTTAAGACAGTTCAAACCACAACACTTTGATTCCCTTTGTCATGGTTTTCTGTGAGGATACACTATATTATTGGTGATAAGCTGCTGATAAGATGTGTGTAAAAATATCCACATTTACAAAGCTATCATGAATGAAACCCATCGTTCAGCTACATTCAGCCAGTGGGCATTAAAACAGGCAGGCCATACAAAGAGAGTGGAAAAGCCTTCAAAGATAATTGCGACATTATGGGGAATACACTTTTGTATTGAGAGTTAAATGAAAAGCTAGACACTACATTTTAATTATATATGAAGCTATAGCCTATTAGCTTAGCTTAGCATTCAAAAGCACAGTAAAACCTCTATTCAAACAACATCTGCCTACGATAAGTTATGGTTTACCACTGCTTCAAGTCTTTTGCTAAACTAAAAGAGCTTAAGAATATGCTTATTTTCCCAAAATGTCATATCATTCCTTTAATTGATTGTTCCTCAGATAATAACTTCAAGAAAACTCAAAAAATGTATATCTTTGGATCCTATAAAAGGGGACTCAGTTGCTGTCAACAGTTTCTTGCTGTGATCGAAGGCCTTTTAACTTCCTACAGCTTTTCCTCAAGAAGAAATGTACATATTGTTGTTAAGATATTATAACTTTTAACATTTGACCTCTAATGGTGCAGGGTATCCCGGAGCAATGGGCCCGGCTCCTGCAGACCTCGAACATCACCAAACTGGAGCAGAAGAAGAACCCGCAGGCCGTGCTGGACGTCCTGAAGTTCTACGACTCCAAAGAGACCGTCAACAACCAGAAGTACATGAGCTTCACATCGGGAGGTAAGCAGCTTAAAAAAACTGATACATGTAAAACAAAATAACAATCACCAGTTTAAATTCTAAATGTATTTGATGTCTAATACAAAAGATTAAAATAATTTCTCTTTTTTCAGACAAGTCGGCACATGGGTACATCGCAGCAAACACTCTGGTGAGTTATTTCATATCCAAGCTTATTTGGTTAGTGTTGGCTATAACCCCAAATAATGCATTTGATTCCTGTCAAGAAGCTGGAAAATACCATTAATTGAGTATCTGACCCTTTATTTGTCAGTAAATAGGAATCAAACCACTATTTAACGCTCAGTTTTAAAGGAATCTAAATGTTGTTTATTGAAGATTTCCCTTTTTGTGGGAGGTTACTTTCTATGTCTGTTTTATTAGGAGTTGTATTGCTCCGCTGCATATCTCTCCCTCCCTAGACTGTCTGGTTTTTATAGTAAAACATTTAGAGTACAAATCATCCCAATCGGTGCACAAATCCCTGCCACATTTTATTGGAGAATCTCTCAACTCAAAGATATACTTCTTTATGATTCTCATACATCTAACATCGTGATAATTTAACAGGTAAGTTGCAATATGATGTGGCTTTAATTCAGCGCCTTGAACCTCACAGCCTCTCTCAAAATATACTACAGTAAACCTTTCTTTACTTTGCTCTGGGATTTTCTGGGATATTCCGCGTTACTCTCCAGAACGCTTATTGCTGCCTCTAATGGGCCAAATGTGTGCGCTCCTCTCTAGAGGCTTACTGCCCTCACTATGCGTCATAATTCCCTCCATCTTTTTCGTGCCAGCCTCTGATTCTGCAGAAAACAGTGACTGCTGCGACAGCCACGGCTATCCATTGTTGATTTTTCCAATCTACTCAACCAGACTTTGAACTACCCATAGAAAAGCTCCAGTGGATGCTCAGCTGCATCTAGAAGCCCCCCCTGCTGTGCTGACCTCGTTCCTGGCTCTGACCAGAGTAATCTATGCTTTGAATGCCTCGGCCTGTGCACGCTCAGCCGGGTGAAGAAGTGGATCCAAGTCTGTTCAGTGTGAGTCGCTGCCCCAGGCAAACTGCAGTGGGATCACTTAATGCAGGCCCATTGCTGGAAAGAGCTTGGACAGTGAAGGCCGAGCGGGTGTGGCAGTGATACTGAAGGGTTGTGTGAGCCCACTGAGGGCATTTTAGAGCATCTCAGCCTCAGACTGTCACTGCGCTCCTCAGCCTGCAGAGGTGACTCAGCTCTTGGCTTCAGTGCCACAGATTTCATCCTCACTTTGTTCCGCACTGTCTCAGGCAAGCAGAAAAAACAGAAGAGGTGCCAATATTTGTTCAAGCAAAATGTCACTTTTCAGAGAGAAACAATAATCCAGCAGGAGCTACCTGATGCTCTCTGTCAGATTTAAACTCCAACATCTACCAACCTGCAATGAGAGCTAATGTGTGTCTTCTGATCCTCTGCTACAATCCACCCTGCAGTTTTCCCCATCTTGTTATTAAGTATTATACAAGACATTTAGTCAGACTGAAAAGAGAGTACTATCCACTATATTAAGATCTCTTTTTTAACTTATTTGAACATCATTTTAAGCCAGTCGTTCATTTTGTAGGCCGATCAGAAACCTCACCTTGACCTTAGCTCGACCTACAATCTTTAATTGTGCATAATGGCGCTGGGAACGCTGAGCTGCATCCTAATACAAGCGCTCGGTCAGGTTGTAATTACATTTTAGATTCCAGGATCTCATTATGACTCTACATCCTGAGCCTCATTTCCATTCTAACATGCTAAATATTGTCTTCAGTGTCCACCTCTAGCAATAATGAATTAGACGTTTAGCTGGACACAAACATTTGTCTTTGATTATACAAAGAAATAAAGAAGAAATTGGTTTTCGTCTTGGTGTTTGTGCCCTGGTCTTACATGTGAGGAGTGTCCTCCGTTTAGCCATCAGTTAAGACATATCTCTCATTTCATACGAGTCCCCCTAACAACCAGGAAGCCCTGAGAGTCACACCACAGCACTTATCTGTCAGCAACACAGACAGCCTGACCACTGATCACATAGCAGTGACAGTTTGATTATCAGAGAGTCTGAGACCTTTAAATCCAGCATGGTTACTCTTTCAAGATTATACATTTTTGTGATGGATCTTAATAGAAACACTTAATTCAGTCTGTGTGCCAATCCTGCCTGTTATGAACCTTAGTAAACAAAGGAGCGGTTGGAGAACAATTGGTGTTGATTACTTAATTATGTTGGAATTATCAAGTCACAATTGATGTTTGCCATTTGTCAGATCAAGTTCTTGTTAGTTCAGTCAGGTCTAAGCTCTGTCATTGTTGGCCCTAAAAAGTTAAATAGATAAATTACATGTTATCCAAATAAATACCACAACATTGTGTTCAATAACAAAGCATCCCAGCTGGCAGTTAACTGAGAGTTGTTCAAGTCAAACTAAGTGATGGGTTTCCAGCTAAGCAAATGGACAAAGTTGAAACAAGAGCCGTTCCTTAATTAGTTGTATATGCCGGGATAATGTGTATAATGTGTACCAGACTATAATTGTGGTTTTTTAATCCATTTCCTCTTTAACATGTCAACAGGAACTTTTAATTCAGGTAACAGAGCAAGACAGGTGCATGAACAGAAATGGAAACTAGTATCATTCATTAAAAAACATCGCCAAAGATAGGTTGGGCAAAGATAGTCCTCAGGCGGCACATTGTGTCTCCATCATGTCCTCTTGTCCTGCTGGGTTTCAGGAGGAACATTTAGACGTTTAGTCCACCCCTCAGTAGCGAGACCCTGCCCTCCCCCACCCTCCCCTGAAGTCCCCTTACTCTCAAACAGTGTGTGGGTTTGTTTTGAGTAAATCCTCCCATTTTCAACCCTCACATTCAGAACCGGCTGCTGTCATCCGGGCCTCCTGTCAGCCTTAGAACCTGCAGCGCATTATTTGACAAGGTAACTCCTCCATATTACTTTCCACATAATGTATCTCTGCATTGGCCTCGAAGCTAAATTTGATCTCCTAATTCTGATTATTCCAACTGAGAAAACACATATAAATATCTGATGTATTGAAATTCTATGGGGGATGTATTTGGATCTATTAGTTTTCGATGTTACTGATGTATTCACTATCTTCCACAAGAGCACCTCTTATCCTTTTCTTTTCTAACGGACCATCTCTGAAATGGCAGGGCAGGGGCGCAGAGGGTTGTGATGACTTTCAAACTGCATGTATGAGCTCATATTCTTTACAGTTTCCAATAATGTAACGTTATAAACATTACCGCATGGCTCTGCAAAAAAAAAAAGGCTCTGCTTACATTTAGAAAGACACTCTTTCCTGCACTGCAGTCTTGGCCTTCCTTGGAGCGCTTCAGAGGCCCAGTGTGTCTGAATGGAGGACTGAGACTTTCCTTCAGACAGACCCTTTCCCTTTAATCACCAGAACTAAGCTGCACTGTTTCATTTATGCATGACGAGGCTGGAAATGGATGAAATGTTTCCACTCCATAAGAGGATGATGATCCAGGGCTAGCAGGGTTTGGATGGGGGGGGAATAAAAGCTGAGCATTAGGCATAATAAATATGCCTGAAGCTTTTTAATTTGTTCAAAGGTATCTACCATATGAAGAGGACGTCCACAGCTCATCACCATATTGCACCAGTACTGCAATGTGGTGGCATATTTCTCCTGTGTTTCTTTCAAATGCATTCTCATTGTTGGTGGCACACCTGACTTAATGTAAAAAACGCACTGGATGGCACCTCACACTTTAAATGCTAACCCCTTTAGCTCTCAGCTTAATCCTAATACTACCTTTATTATTAACCCAACTAATCCTGACCATTTTGCCCCATTCGTTTTCTTCTTTCCACAACATCAAAACAGATTAATTGTGTTTTGTTTATGTTGTTCCCATGTGCTAATTAACATCAAAACCTTTGATTTACTGTTATATAGTTTAGTCACCTTCACTACAGCTTGTGTGTGAGACAAAGTTTATATTGAAACTCACATGGCCGGGAACTTTTTTTACTGCTGGTGTGGAGTTTGCTGACTCTTACTTACCCTCCAGGGTGCCAAAACATCATCGTCAGAGCCTCCAATCGCTCCACCTGTGTCAGAAGAAGAGGATGAGGAAGAAGAGGAAGAGGAGGAAGAAGAGGAAGAAGAGGAAGATGACGACGAACTGCCCCCGGTCGTCGCACCTCGGCCCGAACACACCAAATCTGTGAGTTTGTACGGCGTGCTGAGTTGAAATCACTCTGCTGCAAATCCAAAAACCCCCCCTCTTAATTTCTTTGACTCTCCTCTCCTCGCAGATCTACACGCGCTCCGTCTTGGAGCCCAAGCCCCCGACCCCCGTGAAGGAAGTGGTGACTCCCCCAGAGTCGCTGGTCCAGCCCGACAACATGTCCAACACGATGTACCGCCACACTGACCGCCAGAGGAAGAAGTCCAAAATGACAGATGAGGAGATTCTGGAGAGACTCAGTACGTGTTTTTTTATGTTGACTTCTCCTAGTTTTAAAGGCTGCATTACAGTAGTGTCACTTTTTTATTTTCCTTTCCTACTAAGTCATTATACCCTCTCCACTGATGATTACACGGAAATGTCATTGTGTATATATTTGTATAAGCACAAATAGTCAACCGTACAATATTTGGGGTATTCGGTACGAAACTGCAGCATTTGATAAAAAAACTACAAATGATATTACATGTTTTCCTTGTCAAACAGCCCCAGAAGTCCTTAAAAAACACTTAAAGATATCATGGAGTCTTAAAAATATAGTTATCTTCCATAATTGAAGAATCTGATGTTCTTTGAATCTCAGTAGGCTAACTGTTTTCAACGCATTATTTTGTGCATTCATATTTTGTATTTAGAAAAATCGTTGCCAGAGAACTGTCAACACCCCATTTGACAACAAAATCTTATTGCACTGATTATGGCCTTTCCTTAAGGCTGGCGTCACACTGTCCCGAAATTGAAACCCGATAGACACACGAATATGGAATTGTGAATTTCGCACGAAGATGGCCCCGAACCACACACGAAGGCAACATTTACATTATATTTAAGACATACAACTGCAACGAAAGTAACAAAAACAATTATGTTAAAGTACTATGATACTGTACTGATATCTTCAGACTTTGTTCTTTACTTTATGCGTCTTTATATGTAGAAGATATTAAGTTTTCTCCGTAATGTTGTTTCCATAGCAACAACAACTTCCTGTCAACTCGCCTTCAAAATAATATATTATATCCTTTTTAGTTTCACAGAACACAAATTGGGTTGTTTACATAATATGTTTACATGATTTTGTTGTGCAATAAAACAACCCGATAGACACACGATAAAGGAAATGTTCAAATTCGGCTCTGATCGTAGCAACATCGGGCCATTCGTGAGGGCATCTTAAGCCATCGTGTGACCGCCGGTGGAGTTTCTCAGGCTCCGGCAGCAACTTCGTGAGCGGTGGCAACATCTTTGGCATGCCAAAAAATTGCCGAAGGACCTTGCGAAGGTTCATTTTCGTGTTGAATTTGTGTGTCAATGTTGCCCTTCGTAAGGCCATCGTGAGGGCATCTTGTTATCATCGGTGCCATCGGGCATTAGCCCCGATCAGAGTGAGGGCGAATGCCCGATGGCACCGATGATAACAAGATGCCCTCCCGATTTGACAAGATGCCCTCACGAGTGCCTTACGAAGTTGCCGCTCACGAAGTTGCTGCCGGAGCCTGAGGAACTCCACCGGCGGTCATACGATGGCTTAAGATGCCCTCACGAATGGCCCGATGTTGTTACGATCAGAGCCGAATTTGAACATTTCCTTTATCGTGTGTCCATCGGGTGTCAATTTCGGGACAGTGTGACAGGGGCTTAAAGCACTACCCCCTCTTTACTGACACTTCAGCCCTAGTTACCGACAGGCACCGCTAAGTACAGATCCATGTACTTAAAGTAGCTGCACTGCAAGGCAGGGTAATTCTGAAAGAGAAAGGCAGACGGTTCTGTGGTTATGTTATTTGTGTATTTGTGTGTTTGTGTGAGCGTCTCACATGACTTTGTGCACCACACACAAGCTCAATCATCATATATCTGCTCTCTCTCTGACTCAGGGAGTATTGTGAGCGTGGGGGATCCCAAAAAGAAATACACACGCTTCGAGAAAATAGGACAGGGGTAAGTCTATCTTCGTTCATAAATCGGTCGTCACAGTTATTGAAATAGAGCAATTTCAGGAGCAGTCAGTCTCTCCAGAAGAGATGCAGCCGTAGTGGGCGCTCCAGTGAGGCAGAGGGAGGGTTGAATGAACGAAATGTGAACTGTATCCTGACATGGCCATGGGACAGATACGAACTGTGTGGTTGTTATCTGCTCGGACATCCTCACTATTTCCATATTTGATCAGGAAGCTCCTGTCTGAAACAGAGATTACTGTCTATTTATTCTCTGCTGGGTCATCTTTAATTTATTAGCAGGCGGTCAGGAACTGTGGACCATGATTAATAACTTCTGACAGCACACAGGTTTATCTGGCAGCAAAACAAAGAGGAAAAACCAGAAGCCTGAATTCACAGCTGAAAGTTTTTAGTATCATGAGATACACTTCCTAATAAGGACAGAGCGGCTGCATACCATTCAGTTGACCAGCTATTGGAAACTGTACATTACTTGTGTGTGCTCATTCCTGCTAAGAGTGGTTCTGTTGTCATGGTAAAATGAGCACATGAAGATGAAGAGCCCAAAAAACTTCTACTGCCAAAATAACTTTTAATCCTATTAAATACTTGGCCTAATTTTCTCAGTGCAAGGGTATAGCATGAGCCAAAGAAGAACCCATTTCATTTTGGAAAGGATCTGTATCACAAAGCGGATACATAAGTGCTTTTTCATCTTAGCAAGGTCTGTGCTCTCCAACTGCCTTTTACGAATTCATGACATAATCGCAACTTAAAGTTTGTAAATTATATTAATTGTGAAGGCACAAAGCTGTAGTTGCGCCAACGTGATACCTTTCTCCTTAATATAACACAGTTAAATTAAGTTATAGACCAATGTGTCTGTGGTCTGACTTTTAAAATAACATCTGATGTGTTAACCTAAAATTGGTTTGATCAGGTTAGTATAGACGTTTATGGGTGTATGGTCGTGGCAACTCAAAATGATGGTGAACATATTCAACATATGGTATAAGATTCTATATAGAAAATGTTAAATATGTTACAACACTATTTAGTTTTAGTTAGAACAGTGATATGTTATGATTATTATTCTCAGAGTAGTTTTAAAACTTTGATGACATATCTTTAATGTGATTTTGATCTTATTTATCCCCAGAGCGTCCGGCACTGTGTACACTGCTATCGACATAGCAACTGGCCAAGAGGTAAGGCAGCTCTAATGTTGGTTTTATAAACGCTCGCTCACTGTATATTATTCATTTTTCCCCACTAATCCATCAGGATTTACGTTGTTCTGAGCCACAAATTCCTCGTCTGTTTTCTCAGGTGGCCATCAAGCAGATGAATCTGCAGCAGCAGCCCAAGAAAGAGCTGATCATCAATGAGATCCTGGTGATGAGGGAAAACAAAAACTCCAATATAGTGAACTACCTGGACAGGTCAGTTTTCACATGTGATTATAAGCCTGAACTCAAGGCCCTTTTATAGTTATTTTTGTCTATTGCCTCAAATATAGAATCTTAAGGCCATCACATTTGCTAAGGTGCTTTCCTCAAACTGCAGTCAAAAACCTGAAGCTTTTGTAATGTTACATAACAGATGGAAAAGCAGCAAGTCCTCACATTGGAGGAGCTGAAAGCAGCATATATTTGGGTTTTTTGCTTTATAGAGGGCAATTCCTTTAACCATTCATTGTTGCTGTCAATTACTTTTCTTTAATATGACATGAACAGGTTATTATTGCTTTTTCAGCATATATCAAATGTAGCATTTATTGTTATTCTAAATTAATCTAAGGTTATGATATCTCATCTAATGCATTACATTACATTACATTTAGCTGACGCTTTTATCCAAAGCGACTTACAATAAGTGCATTCGACCAAGGAGATACAAACTTGAAGAAAACAGAACCATATAAGTACATCAGGTTTCATAGAGCCAAAACATTTCAAGTGCTACTCAACTGGCTTTAGATAAGTCAGTCGTTTGTTAGTACATAAGTGCTTTGTTAGTATATAAGTGTTTAGTTAGTATATGAGTGCTGACATGAGTCACTGCATTGGCCAAAGCAACTGGTTTGGGGTCATTTATGACACTAAAGGATCATCTAAGTTTTTCTGATCAGTTTTCTTCCTCATCACATCCGTCTCCTCCTTCTTTTAATGGTGGTCAGCATTTATCATTTAGCACATGACTGCCACCTGCTGTTTTAAAACACAGAGAACAATTTGACTAAATAAGTTGATATAATTGTTTTAAGCATCTGTTCTTCTCAGCTCTGATTTCATTATGTTGGTCTTTCTGCTGGTCCCAGCTGGCAGTAACATGCTTGATCACCTACTGTGTCTTGTAATCGACTCTGCATCATGAAGCTCACTCACCTTTAATTCAAAATATGCAACAGCTGCTCTACGCTCTTCTTCTTAGGAGGTTTTCTTCTCATTTGTGTGCCAAATGTCACTATAACAACAGATGATTAAAGCAACAACTGAACTGAAACCCCCAACATGTGTCACTCTAAAACTACACTTTTCTCTTTGGCTTTTTATTAGTTACCTGGTAGGAGATGAGCTATGGGTGGTGATGGAGTATTTGGCCGGTGGCTCGCTGACAGATGTAGTGACTGAGACCTGCATGGACGAGGGCCAGATAGCTGCGGTCTGCAGAGAGGTAAGAAGCCAAGTTTACACATCAGCAACTCTCCTGTGGCTACACTCAGCTGACCCTTACATCTAATGTACACAGGCACTTTTAAACACTCAAACCAGCCTGGAGATAAAAAACTGTGTGTAGTACAGGCTTCATTGGCATTGGAATATCTGATTCAAACACTTTTTTCCGCTCTCTTCAGTGTCTTCAAGCCCTGGATTTCCTACACTCCAACCAGGTGATCCACAGAGATATAAAAAGTGACAACATCCTCTTGGGAATGGACGGATCCGTCAAGCTCAGTAAGTATTTTTCTTTCTAACATATACATTTATTTTTAGTGTGGTAAAGTCAAAAGCAGCATTTTTTAGATGAGTTTGTTGAATTAAAGACCACTTAAAGAAGCCCTGTTATGTTATTTCCCTTTCCTGTAGTGTGTTAGACAGGTTTTTGTGCATGTAAATGGTCTACAAATGTTAAAATCTCTAAGTTCTCTCCAGAGAGAGTTTCGTAACACAATTACATCACTATGTATAGCGCTTCTATTGGTTAGCGCTCCAACATATTGTACGTGATTAGGGTCAGCACATATCTAAGCGGTTGACCAATCACAACAGAGCCGGCCAGCTAACCAATCAAAGCAGACTGGGCTCTGGTTTCAGACAGAGGGTGAAAATGAGACAAATAAAGAGCTTTTTGAACATTAAAGCATGTAAACACAGTAGAGGCACAACATTAAAATATGAACCTGAAAATCAGCATTCCCTTTATATTAAAATAAGGGTACGTGCAAAGTGATATAACAGTTGTTATTTAATGTGATAAAGCAGACAAAGAACATAAAACTTCACTGCACCTCTCTCTTCCTCTGCAGCCGACTTCGGCTTCTGCGCTCAGATCACTCCGGAGCAGAACAAGCGCAGCACGATGGTGGGAACGCCCTACTGGATGGCCCCGGAGGTGGTAACTCGGAAGGCTTATGGCCCGAAAGTGGATATCTGGTCTCTGGGGATCATGGCCATAGAGATGGTGGAGGGAGAGCCGCCCTACCTGAATGAGAATCCACTCAGGGTAAGACACAAAGTGCAGCCACAACACGGGACGCAGGATGTTAGCTCCCCAGGGGTCATACAGAATGCATAGATATTAAATATTTAGATTTCTTTACTTCTTATGGAGGCCTCATTTGATGGTCTGCCTGACCTCTTCCTTGTTGCCAGGCGCTGTACCTGATAGCTACCAACGGGACCCCCGAGCTGCAGAACCCAGAAAGGCTCTCCTCGGTGTTCAGAGACTTCCTCAACCGCTGTCTGGAGATGGATGTGGACCGCAGAGGCTCTGCCAAGGAGCTGCTCCAGGTAACACTTTGACCTTTTGAGAACCAAGCATTGTTGATGTAAACACAGTCACATCCAGAAGGGACATTTTTTTTTTTAAAGAAATGTAAAGAAGTTCATGGGAGCTACAGGTCGCCTCTATGCTACTTAATATTCAAGGATTCAAGGCTTTTATTGTCATTTTGTACATTGCTAAAGTGTAGATATGTCACTGAAAAACGTAGGTCACAGGCTCCTCCAACAGTGCAACACAATAAAACAGATAAAATAGTGCAAGTAAATACAAATAAAATTGAATAGAATCAGAAATCAGAAATCAGAAACTGATGTATTACCAGGTAGGTTGACACGTACGAGGGATTTGACTTGATTTCATGGTGCATACATAAAAGTAAAACAAAATAAAAAAACACAGATAGAGAACTATTTTAAGAAAACTATAATAACATTAAAAAATGTTAAAAATAATAAAAGATATAGTAAAAATATAGCAGTATTTACATAGAAATAGAATGGAATAAGACTATATACAAATATATGGAATATGATATATTAGATAAATAATTGAAAACAGATAGATGTTATGGATGTTCGTTCAAAAGTTCAGGTGTTTAGCTGTCTTATGGCCTGTGGATTGAAACTGTCCCTGAGTCTGGTGGTTTTAATGAAGATAGATGAAGATTAAGAGCTCTGTTTTGCTGCTCTTTTTATGTTGTGAAGATGTCAAATCATCACCAAAAATCAACTATTTATAATTCCGAAACATCTCTCTTTTGCTCCATATATATAAATAATTTGTTCTTCTTTGTCCTCTGCAGCATTCCTTCCTCAAGCTGGCGAAGCCTCTGTCCAGCCTGACACCTCTGATTGTAGCTGCGAAGGAAGCCATAAAGAACAGCAGTCGCTAGTGCGTGCCCTCTGTCCCCACCCGAGGCTGGAGCCCTGCCTGGGGTGTGTGCGTTTCATGGGGGGCAGGGGCTTGGGTGTATGGGTGGTGGGTGACGTGACGGCACAAGGATGGAGGGTTTTGTGTGACTTACCGTGACAGCACGAGGACAAAAGACCCCCAGGCCTCAGACGTAGGACGGACATCTGGCCTTGAAGCTCTCGGCCCAACGCTGCTGAAAAGACCTTGCCTCCTTGTTTACTTCTCCAGCACTCTGTACATGTAGAGGCAGTCCATCACAAGTGTGTGGTGTGTGTGTGTGTGTGTGTGGTGTGTGTGTGGTGTGTGTGTGTGTGTGTGTGTGTGTGGTGTGTGTGTGTGTGTGTGTGTGTGTGTGTTGTGTGTGTGTGTGTGTGTGTGTGTGTGTGTGTTGTGTGTGTGTGTGTGGTGTGTGTGTGTGTGTGTGTGTGTGTGTGTGTGTGTGTGTGTGTGTGTGTGTGTGTGTTTGTGTGTGTCTTGAGTGTGTGTGTCTGAGTGTGTGTGTGTGTGGGTACCAATTGTGCACATCTGTTTATGTCATATGTCTGGTTTGGCAGCACTTGCTCCCGAAACCAAGATAATACGGTGAACAAATCCAAAAGAACAAGCTCGTTTTCAAGAAGTAACTTCCGGAGCGGAGACTGGGAAACTGACACAACTGAAGAGCCTGTGTTATCTTCGCTGCCCGGCTGTAGGCTTGGTTTTCCTTCCCTCCATGGAGCACAATCAGGCCACACTTGCACCTTTAGTGACCATCTGATGTGAGAAAGTGACTCCGGACCCAACCTTTGCCTGCATGACTACGGCTCTGTGGAGAAACACTGCTCCTCCTCTGCAGATTGTAACATCTATGTATGTGTATGTTTGTGTGAGTGTGAGTGTGTGTAGGGGTGCAGCTACAGGGGAATAAGTCAGGTATAATTTCACATGACCTAGGCCAGCTTTAAACATCCTTCATTTATCCCTTTCATATCAGTGAAGTGATACGGGTCCCATATTTTATTTAAGCCAAATTCTGTCAAAATCTCTCTTAAAGAGTCACTGGAGTTCAGGTTACCTGCAGTTCATTTCTCTCTAAAACTGGCAACATAATGGTTTGCCTGCATGTAACATCGAATTTAAAACATTTGTGACTCAACTGTAGGTCGCACAGGTACAAATATGTATACACTTGTGCTTTCTTATCAATTTCAAGTGTTATGATGTAGATAGAGACACTTGAACGCACAGTTTAAATCAACATTTGGTACTAAACACACGCAGAAATGATCAGAATAATATAAAATAATGTCAACTTCATTACTAATCCTTTTGTTGCGTACGTGCATACTGTACATGAACTGTAGCATTCATAGTGTGACAAATAGGGTTATCCATATAGCTATTCAGTTTGTGTCACTGTGACAGGCTTTGGGGGAGATAATTCAACATCTATGTTAATCGAGCCATTCTGTGTATTACATTTGACAATTAGCTATATAATAGAAATCCAAATACTGGATCAAAGACTCAACAGAAAGGATACATGTTTTTATTTTAAAATATCTATATTAAAGGTGCTTGCATACAATGGACCAGCCTTTCTAATTACATGTTTTTCTACAACAGTGGCAAACAGAAGGCTGTGTAATTATTGACCTACAGTGAGTTAAAGGTCTAATGCCGCCCATTCTCACAGTTTCCCACAGTGCCCCACGCATCCCTGTGACCTTAAACCTTAAACAGGAAGGATGACGCTTGGCAACAACATAAAGATAATACTCTGAATATACGGTATATTTATTCCAACATTGTTAGTCGGATCAGCAACTGCAACAGGTAGAAAAACATTGATTATTTAATCCATTATTTATGGTGACTTAAATGTAAAATGCAGATTCAATAAGATTATTCTCCCATTTGGAAGATTACTGTTTAGTGGTCTTACTATCCAACATTACAGAATACAATACGCAACTGTGACTATACATGATGAGGTTGAAGGCCTATCTGTTAAGGTTAAACATTAATGTCTAATGAGGAAACAGGAACCCACTGTCCTCCCGGCCCACCTGCCCCCCGTCTTCTCATGTTGGTTTTCATTCAGTGTCCTTTTGTGTGTTTCTGTCATATGATCCGTACGTTTTGTAGTGGGCTTTTGGAACGCGTGGCTGATCAAAGAGGGGGAATGTTATCCACTGAGTGAAGCTGGGAGTAGAGTGGATGCCATTTTATGATTGTACCTTATCCTAATGAGCGTTGGAAACAGAAACCGAAGAAGAGGTTCATTTTGTTGCTATCATTCCTTCCACTCTTGGTTAGCGTTTCATCTCATTCCTGTACAGAGGTTATCTACATTGTGTCGGTATTTGGTAGCTTCGTCAGGCATTTCCCATGTAGCATCCCTCTGTGTGTGAGTGTGTGTGTGTTATAGGGGCTACCTCAATCTGCACTAGAAGATGCCTCACTCGTGTTGTCCACCTTGACTTTGAGGTGCAGAGTAGCTGCTTAGTCTTATTGTACCTCCATTTTACAACAAGTGAACAGAAGGTGGAGTGATGTTAGACAGGAGGGTGCAACAGAATCCATGCATGTAAAACAAACTATACACTGTATCTCATCTTCAAATAGGTTAAGATTGTTAGGATATGTATGTATGTATGTAAATATGATGGGAAAACCCCCCTTTTTTCAGAATTACGTAACTTTAAATGACAATATTCAGGTTGCTCAATGGTATGTATCGATAAATGTTTTGCACCCTGAAAATCAAAAGAGAAAAACGAACACACACTCTGCAATCCTGGATCCGGCTCTATGGGACACACAGTCTGTCAGTACCACTGCTGAGTGTTAGTACATGTGTGTGTGTGTGTGGCTGGACTGACATGAGGCTCCGCCGGCCCCCGTTTGGCCCCCCGCCCCCATGTACAGGTCTGAACTATGAGCACAAAGGTGAATTTTGGGACAAGAGACACCGCCGACGTGCCCCTCTTCTGTGGTTGCTCCTGTACATTCCTATCTTCTGAATGTGTAAACCTGTACACGTGGTGTGAAAATTCCTCTATTAATGTGTATCAAGAGAATGGAACAAAGACAAAAAATGTTACTTTTTAAATTATTATCATTATTATTACTCTTATTATTGTCTAGCTTTGTAAAAACTGCTGATCCATCTGGCATACCTCAGCAGGCCTTTCCCCATCTTTGAAAAAGGACAAACAAGCGACGGGGAAATGAGGTTTTGGATAAACTATTTTTAATCGTGGTTGAAGCAATAGACTTTTTGAACTTTTAATTGTGCATGGCTGTGTCTTGAGTGTAACAAAAATATTGCAGTTTGGGAACTGGACTGAAATAAAAAGAGGAAGAAAAACCAGAGCTGTGTTAATGCTGGTTATCTCATGTGATTCCTTTTATTAGTTATGCCATGTAATCGTCAATGAAAAAAAGGATTAGAAAATTCATCAAAGAATAGATGATACTTTAATCATGTTGTGCACACAGTACATTGTTCTGCATACAAAGGTGCTATTTAAAAAGGACAAAAGTATAACTAATGTATTTTAAGACTTGAATGACATATCTGCCATAAAACTCACAGTAGTAATAGTAATAAAAAGAGAACATCTTTACAAGCAACTTTCAAAATGTCAATATACAAATATTTTATAAGTTACATAAAAATGATTTGAAAGGTGATTAAGATAACTCAAGACTAAACATTAAGATAGGAATTGCCTGCTCACATCTCAACTTTGCAAACAATTCCTCAACGTGCAAATACAAATGTAAAATAAAAGCGTGGACATCCAGCATGACAAAGAGTGTTTATGGGGCTTTGATGATGACACATGCCAAGTGAGGTGTTCATCGTGAAAAAGCCCTCACTAAAGTCACTGACTGGATCACATGGCGGTCAGCTGAGTAGAAGTGATGACCCTCACACTGATGGTCCCCGGCATCTCGTCCGCCATCTGTCGTCCTCTCTTCCTCAGCTGGAGCCTCTGAGGGCTGAAGGTGTCCTTCACCGAGCCCGACAGAACCACCTGGCCCATGAACTCGTCCTTCACCGCGTTGCTGTTCCAGACCTGAGGAACACCCGTCATGTGTTACAAAATAACCACAGATCATCTCGGCTACTCTGATTTCATTATGTTGAGCGTTAACAGGCAAGGATGATGTTCTGTGCTCTCAATTACAGCAAATTACAAGCCGCTATCACATTGTCAGTTGACCTTTTATTATGTGAGTTTCTGTAGTTCATTGATCTATTCTTTTCATTTTACTATAATCATTAGTTTTTGTGAGCACTGAATAAAAAAATAAAAAGACTGCACAAAAAAATGTAGTGTCTGTATAAATCAACATTACGTTGTTTTGTTGTAGGAATAAAAAAGGCATTTTGGAAACTAATCCTGTTCATATAGTAAAATCCAAGCCCTATTATTATTAATAATAGTTTGCTTTGCAGATTAAAAATGACTAGCAACCATGGTGAAGTTAGCTTTAGGTAAAATAATCGATAGACATTCAACTCCAAATCAATCGGATTCTTGTTCAGTTTCACAAATGGTTGACAATGAGAGGGTTGCACCATAAAGAAATGACTGTTTGAATGCTGAGACAGATTAATTACAGTCACAAGGAGCAGAGGGATGCCATCTTACCTCCACTGTTAAGGGCTTTCTGGGCTTCTTCCTGAAGAAAATTGCGCTTGTTGTAAACTCTGGATTCAGGGTGTCCTTTTTGATGGTGGATCGTACAGACCGGCCCTCACAGTGAATGATCACATACGGGTCTGCACCTGCAGGAACACATGGAAAGTTCCAAGTCAGAAAACCATATACAGGCTGATAAGTACATTTGGGGTAAGAGTCATTTGTTCAAGTCCTCTGACCTCCAGTGCTGTCCTGGTTCTGCAGCTCCCCGGCTCCATGCACGTAGACGTGAGTCACAGCTTGCGGGTATCCAAGGAATGAACTCCAGCATTTAACCTGCGGCTTGTCTTCTGTCAGCTCCCTGTGAGAGATGAGAAGTTAGACACCATGAGAAAAGTACTTATATCTTGATACTCTGCTCTAGATCTAGCTACTGTATAATCAAACATGGTAAGTGTAATTATGTCTAATACACACAACAAGTTGTATTACCCAGCCTGGATGACCTGAATGTGTGAGCCAACATGATTTGGTTCTGGTTTGCCAAAACAAAAAACATAAAATCATCGCCCAAGATAAGCAGAATGAGATGAGACATTACTTTCCAAGTGATTTAATGTGAACATAATTGTAAAGTATCTGAAACAGTAATTATGGGTGTTTTCGTTGGATATAATCCCTCAGACATTAGTGTCTGAATGGAACAATCAAGGAACAGCTGTGTTCTTGTTTTCCCTGCAGAGTCTCTTAAAACCTGATTATTGTAAGATAAGTGAATATTGACATCATAAAACCCAGCCATGCTGCTGATTTAAAATTAAAAGCAGTCCCCGGTCAGACGTCACAGCTCAACCACAGTCGTACCTGCAGCCTGAGTCCACGTCGGTGAAAACTCGGATCATGTAATCCCCCAGAGTGTAAGGCTTGAAGGTGGTGGGGATGAGGACGTAGCGGCCCTGCTCCAGCGTGCATCTCATGAACACCGTCCGAGCGTTGATGAAGGTCGACGTCTGCACACACTGCTGGGTCAGGATGTCGTGCATCCTGTACTTCCTGTTTAGTTCCACCTGGAGAAGGAAAATCATTTGGGCTGATTCAGTGTTTATTTCAAATACTGAACAAATGACTAACTTTACTCACTAGTCTGTCATTGTATTTAGGCTACCTTTGCTGTACTTTGGCGAATTCCAAAAACAGACTCTTTCTGATACAGATGTACAATTAAATGTAAAGGGTTTTCACTGTTTTAAGAATTATAGTTTACTTTTTGCTGCTTTCATAGATTCTTCTGCCTCCTGGTGGTAGAATAATGAACTAAACTTGAATTTAACACAAATGTCTAATGTATTTCACTGTTGATAAAGAGCAATAATCAATACTCATTCTTTAGCCGGTCATAGGTTTTATACAATAATGTGACAATAATGTATAATAACAATAATATTGGCCCTGTTCCTTTGAGATGGAACAGGGTACTGTGCATGCTGGCTCACTTGAAAGGTTGTGACACCAAACATAATTTGTACCAATAACTGCATGTGTGAAAGTACTTTAACTTGTCAAACAGGAACAAAAATACATAAAACAGTGACAAAACACAGAACGTTGACAGTGTCTGGAGTCCGTCAGATAAAGATAGCTCTTGCTGGCTTAATGACAGTAGTTGACAAGGGTTACATTCAGGTCCAGACTCACAGGCCTGCTTTCATTTCTTTTTAAATCACATGCTCCTAAGGCACCCTTCAGCATTTACTGTTGTCCAGAACCTCTCCCTTTGGCAGCACTTCTGACAGTATGATAAGAGTGTGTTTAAACTTAGCCGCATCTCTGACATTAAAATTAAAATTTTGGAGAAACCAGCTAAAATGATTGGTCATGCTTTTTACAGTACTACGGCTTCCACAGATTGATTGATTGATTGATTGATTGAAAAGTTTATTAACAGCTTGTATATTGGGTACAGTACAGTACAGCTCAAAACATACAATTGTTAAGGGGATGCAGACCAGAGAAAGACTTTCGTCTTGTTTACATCAGGGTCCCCCATTTCCAATTCATCATGTCATTTAAGACATATAAGACATATTTGACATATAAGACATATAAGACATATTTGACATACAGATGGCTTATTTACAATTTACATACAGGTGGTTTTTTACATACAGATTGCTTATTTACAATTTTCATTTTAGATTTCGTTCTAATACATCCTAACCGGACATTTAAGACATACCAAGTCTACAGATATACAGTTAGTAACAGAGTCTAAAATGCGAGTATATACATAGATGGGGGGGGGGGAAGCTGTCCATTGAACGACAGGTTGAGATTTGTACCATTACCGGGGCCAGTTTTGCAATGCTCTCCCCCGAAGGTGCTCTTTAAGAGAGGTTTTGAAGGTAAGTATAGTTTTACTTTCCTTTACAGTTGTGGGAAGAGCGTTCCACCTTGATGTGGCATAATTGCGAAACGTGTATTCCCCCTTTTTTGTGCCAAATCTGGGTTTCACATGATTTGTGGAGCTCCCTCTGGTGTTATGATCATGGTATTCCTTGACCTTTGGGAAGAATTTTGACATGTACATGGGTACCATAGAGGTGCGGATCTTGTAGACCAGGCCCATTGCAAGTAGCTGTACTCTGTCGTCTACTCTAAGCCATCCTAGGTTGTCAAAGTGGGCAGAGGTGAGGTGGGTTCTAGATGAAAGGTCAAGCAGTAGTCTGACCAGTTTATTTTGCGATGTTTGAAGTTTTATTTTTAGCGCCTTGGAGGTGCTATGGTACCATGATGTGCAAGCATAGTCATAGTACCCTTGAATGAGTGCTCCTGCCAGAGTTTTCAGGGTGTTTTTGTTTACCAGAGAGGAGATCCGGTATAGGAATCTAGTTCTTTGATTGACTTTTTTTATTACATTGGATGCCATTTTGTCACAGGAGAGGTTTGCCTCAAGAATAGATCCTAGGTATGTCATTTCCTTCTTACTTGTGACAATAATGTCGCCCACTGCAACTGAGAAGTCGTCGGATTTGCTGAGATTATGTTTCGAACCGAAGAGAATGGACTCTGTTTTACCCAGGTGTAATGATAATTTATTATCGGCGAGCCAGGTGCAGATTCTGCCGAGCTCGGAGCTGAGGGTTTTTTCAACCTGCAACCTGTTCCTGTCAGAGACCAGCAGGGCTGAGTCGTCCGCGAACAGGAACAAGTTGCAGTCACATGCTGATGACATGTCATTTACATAAATTAGGAACAGTAATGGACCTAATATGCTTCCTTGTGGAACACCACAGCTCACTGGGAGGGGGGGGGACAGAGTACCGTTTACCTCCACCATCTGTTCTCTCCCCTCCAGGTAGGATTGCATCCAGCTCACCGATAGTTTATCAAAACCAATTGCTTTTAGCTTGTCAATCAGAATGGGGTGATTGACAGTGTCGAAAGCCTTTTGTAGGTCCAGCATCACCATGCCGCAGTACTTGCCCTCGTCCACCTCTTGTTTGATGTGGTCGCTCAAATAAAGAAGGCATGTGTCAGTGGAGTGGGATGTTCTAAAGCCAGATTGAAATTCATAGATTAGTTTATTTTCCGCGAGGTACTTTTCGACCTGTTCATATACTATTTTTTCCATGACTTTCGAGATGGAGGTAAGTATAGAAACAGGGCGGTAGTTGCCTGGGTCCAATTTGCTGCCCTTTTTGTGCAGGGGGGTTACTCTTGCAATTTTGAAGTCTTTGGGTACTTTCCCCTGTTTTATGGAGAGGTTAATTATGTGAGCTATGACTGGTGAGATGGCGGTTGCTGTGTCTCTGAGGAATTTGGAGGGGATATTGTCGTGGCCAGTGGCCTTGTTAGGTTGGAGGGCGCTCAGTTTAATGAGTACCTCTGCTGTTGTTACCCTTGCTAGACTGAAATCATCTTTGCGTACCCCTAGGTTTTTGTAGTAGGTCATGATGTGATCTACTCCAAAAAGCCCTGAGTGGGAGGGTAATTTATTTACAAGAGTTGTGGCTATGTTTGTGAAAAAAATGTTCAAGTACTTGGCCACATTGTTCAAGTACTTGGCCACATGATGACATTTTTTATGGATCTGTTGTCAAAGCACTTAAAGGTGGGGTAGGTAACTTTGAGAAACCGGCTCGAAATACACTTTTTGTTATATTCCATGGAATGCTCTTAACATCCCGATAGCAATAAATATTTTAAGTGCTTTGACAAAAAAATCCATAAATAAAAATGTCATCTGTGGAAGCCTACTGCAAAAAGCACGACCAATCGTTTTAGCCAGCCCGGCTAAAATAACTGGAAGGCCTACCTGCCTGTCAGCCTTCCATCTGTGCACAAACTTATCTTGTGCCCTCATTGGTCATGTGCGCGTGTTCGTGTGTGTTGGAGGAGGGGCTCTGTAAGGAAGTGGCAGATCTTTTCCGGTTGTGTATTTCTCAAATCCTAGCGCACTCGAGCTGGTTCCTCCAAAATTACCTACCCCACCTTTAAGATATTCATTGCTATTGGGATGTTAAGAGCATTCCATGGAATATAACAAAAAGTGTATCTCGAGCCGGTTTCTCAAACTTACCTACCCCACCTTTAATATCTCATTACAGGAAATGTGATGTCAGGTTTAAAGCTGCTGGACTGCTTTGACATTGCAGTTAATTATGACCTATATTGAATCACAATAGTGAGGTTAATTTGTCTTTAAAAAACCTTCCAGTTTGAAATAAATCTATTATATACCTCTAATAATGCATGAGACTTGTATCATGTCCTATACAAGAGAACAGCCGACTGAACTCTTTGCAGCTTACGAGTTGGGAAGAAATTGTCACTAATGTGTTAGTTTCCACTTTGCCGTTCAGCTTGAAACAATCAAGTAAAGTATGTGCATTCGTCATCTTTAATCCTGTATGATTTAGCCTGTTGTTGAAATGGTCTATCTTGGTTCTGATATGGAGTAATGTCTGCCTGTCACTAAAATCACCCAAACAACTGTTCAATGTTTGCTCAACAAATGAGTACAAGAGTCAGAACGCAGCCAAGATTCTTAGACCAAAAGGAAAGCCAAAATGTGATGAAATGATCCTGTTTTCCCACAAATAAACGGACCCTTGACTAACGTTTGATCCCACATGAACCCCGTTTCCTCTGTAATTGACTCATGTCTGGAGAGTCTTGCCATGATCTTTGTGCAACATTTCACGAACCCTTTGAATCTTTACTGTTATAAACCCCTGCTGTATAATGTAATGTGCAGTTATCAACAGTTCATTAGATCAATACAATTTGGTGAACACAATATTTTACCTTGATGACACTAAAGCCAACGGTAATGTTTTCTCCTTGACCAAATCGTCTGTGGATCTTCATGTCTTTTTGTTGCAAGGAGATCAGGACCTCATCGGACTCCTTTGTAACATCAAACAGGAACTGTAAAAAAAGAAAATGAGTGAAAAAATAGATCCATAAATGTGTGCTTATATAAGTTTACATGTGCCTGCACACAGGTGATGTGAGGAGAGTGTACCTGTGGGTTCTGCAGGAAGGTGGGCTTGTTGTTGGCACAGCCCCCGCAGCGGTTCAAAAGCGGCTCTGCGTTTTTGGTCCAACTCCCAAAGTGCACAACCTCATTCCACGTCTTGTTGACACTGATCAGGGCAGTATTGATAACACGGCAAACATCTGCATTAGTGAATAACTTGCACCAGTCTGCAAATGACATCCTGTGAACGAGAGCACAACATTCATTAATACAATCTGAAAGAAGAGGTCAACTGTTAAGATTCAGAAGAGCTTTAATCGCTCACCAGAACTCCCCATCGTCCGCTACGGTGATGCCAAGGTTTTCCCTTTCCATATCACCAACCTTCGACCATTCCTCAGAGCTAACAAACAAACAAGAACAAAACAAATGAAAGCACTCATAAATTACTAGTAGAGATAAATAGTTTTAGAGTTAAACTCCAGACAACACCCACATTTTGATTTGTAAAATGTGGCTATAAGAAGATTGTATTTTAAAAGAATTACCACAGGTCAGATATAGGGTTACAACCAGCCACAACGCAGACTAATGTAATACATTACATTAATTCACACAATGTTGACAATATTGCTTACTGCACATATATATTATTTTTTTAATTCTATTTCAATGTAAATTACTGCTTTATTTTATTTCTATCTTCCTATATTTATATTACAGTGTTCTTAATATAGTTCGCTATCTGTGTTCTGTGTTCTGTTTTATATTTTATTTTTGTATGTATGCACCACGACACCTAGTCAAATTCCTCGTGCGTGTGAACCTACCTGGTAATAAACCCGTTTCTGATTCTGATATAGATTTGAAATATGATTTAATTGGCTCTTCTGATGTCCCTTCAAACAGTCTGTATGTTCAACACAGTCATTATTTCCCCAAAAATATGGCAAATAACAGTCCGGATCAGGCAAAACCTCCCGGTCCTCCCGATGGCCAGTCCGGAGGACCGGGAGGTTTCCCGATGGCCTGGCCTGTTGTTAAGTGGCCTGCTGGCCTGGTGATTTTTTTTTTTTGTAACGCAACGCTCCGCAAATGTGGGTCTGCCTCACACAGGGTGACTGTCTGTCTACATGATGTGGCCTGCCGACATGGCCACTGCCATACCGATCAGAAATCAAAGCCCTTGATTGGTCTCTGTGTGTCATTCAAGCTTGGGAGGGTGACACACGTATGTGTGGCACGAGAGAGAGAGAGAGAGAGAGAGAGAGAGAGAGAGAGAGAGAGAGAGAGAGAGAGAGAGAGAGAGAGAGAGAGAGAGAGAGAGAGAGAACACCGGTTAGCTGTTTCAACAACAAGGTAGAGGAGGGTCCTCTCCTGTCAGTCTGAGAGGCGCAGGTGAGGTTAAGGACTCTGGGTGTTTAGATAGTTAACTTAGTCTAAGTTATCTCAGTGGGTCTCAAACGGTTTGGTCACCATTTATTAGTAAAATATGCATGAATACAAAGAATTTTTTTTTAATAGGTGAAAAAAGGTAAGATAAACTTTTTAAAACGTGTTGAGAGCTAAAACTAGCCTTTGCTGCTGCCTCAAAGAGGAGCAGGGGGAGAGGGGGAAGACAGGTGAGGCTGATTCAGGAGCAGACACACTCACAACTATAAATGAACCAAAAATAAATAAATAAGTTTCAATTTTTTTTTAATATTGGATATGGTATGTTATTGGTTATGGCCATGTTCTTATGATGTTATGATTATTTAAATGCATACAGTTCTGTTTCATATGGGTGTTTCCATAGATCTAGTCTCAATGTAGTAATAGATTTCACTCCAAAATTACAAACAAAATCTTACCGGGGGGTGGGGCATGCCCCGGACCCCCCTAGCGGTTTTGAGGTCCACCCCCACTTAAAATATGTTCACATGGATAGGTTCCCAAATTGCACATTTTTAAGAATAGTAACTCCTGTCCATATATTTATTATTGGGTAGTAGATTATAGGGCGCTCACTATGGGTAGCAATGCTGTAAATATTCACAGATAAATCCAGCAAAATCGGACAAAGAAAACCTGGTAGTGGCCTGGCTGGGTGTATGATTCCTGGACTGACTTATTGTCCCAGTACGGCCTTGGTCCTGATCCCTATATATATCCATAGTAAACATAGTGTATGCTGGTTTGAACATCTTGGACATTCCTGCTCTTCATGTAGTTTTACAGTGGAGAACAAATGTAAGCAATTAACTTTCTATCACTTCTTACGTGTCACTCCAGGCTCCTTTCCACTCAGTCTGACCCCAGGGGTTCCTCATGCGGATCAGAGAAATAGTTTCATTCTTGAAGTAGGCCAGCAGTCCGTGACCCAAACGCACTTTCTTCACTGCAGTTACTGAGTATGCGTGTCCTTTCACCAGCCCGTTCGACATCTTGAATTCAATCTCATGAGGTTGCGCCTGGTGATGAAAAACAAAAAGGTTAGATTCTGTGAAAGAAGGACAAAAAGAGGCAAATGTTCACGAGGAGCACACACAATGATGGAGCAGCTTATGATTCCTCCACGGTCGTAGACCTTTAGCAGATCCTCAAACAGCTGGTCTTGTTTTGTCTGGTCCTTGTAGTATTCTTCTGCTCCCAGGTCGATGGCTTCAGCCACAGCTCCACTGAAGTCCACCACAGCGTCTCCGGTGTTTCCCCCCTCCAGAGACTCATAGCAGCCAGAGAGCCTGGACACAGAGGAGCAGGGGACTCACAACTTTAGTTACAGAAATATTAAAATATATACAGTTGCAAGAAAAAGTATGTGGACCCTTTGGATTTGTATTTTTTGCCAAGTAGTTTTCACATACAGTACATGGAATAAAATCAGGCATTAAAAAAATTATAAAGAAGAGAAGACAAATACAACAGAAATATGTCAAATACAACTACATATAAACACACTCTTACATGATGCAACACTTATATTCTTTGTATAATGTATGGAAAGAAGCAATTGGTATGCATGTCAACTATGTTTTTATTATAGGTATGATGTAACTATTACTACTAAATGTGTAACTTTTAGTAGTAATAGGATTTATTTTGAATGTAGTTGCATTCTATTATATTATAACTGGATGATCATCTTTAATATTATAAGTCATATCAACTACATGTAAATACAAATACCTGGATTAAAGAATATTACTATATTTCTACAGAGGGGATAGTGTAAAGTGTACTGACTTGGCGTAGGCCTTCTCCAGCAGGGCGCTCCAGAACTCGTTCTTCTCGTTGGAGTGGCAGTAGATCAGCTCCTTGTTGATGGTGGGCAGCCGGTCATCCACCACCACATCCACCCACTCTCCAAAGATCCAGAACTGGAAGTGGAAGATGCCTGCATAGTTCTCCGGATGCTTGGGATCCCACTCCTGCTCCTTGTGATCAGGAATTACCTGAAAAGCAAATGTTGCAAATTATACAGGTGAGATTAAAGAGTTATTTTCAGTTGGACCAGAGAATGTTGCAATGCACCCTAATCAAATGACACACGTGCAAAAAGAATAGCAAAACCTAAGGGTGTGAATTTAAACGCTGCTGTGATGAATGTATTTAAATGTGATGCATTAACGACTATTCTCGTATGACTTCTGAAGCTCTTTTCAGAATCAAAATATACAAGTTTATCTAGTAAGCAACTGGTTGTTAAATGGCTTTAATAACGTTGGGACTGATGTGTTCCTTGCTTAGATATCATGATAGTGTAAACGACATGGTAGCCTTCACTTTTTTGCGGTAGCTTCGCAGTTTAACCAAGTCAAGTACAAAAAGGTGTGCCTCATTATTTCTCTCAGCAGGGAGAGTCTGGGGCCACTGAAGTTGTAGGAAAATAGGTTATCGTTATAAGATATCGTTTTGCAGCAACTAACAAGCTGTCCTATTCTGGCAGTTCAGTGTTGTAGACGGTTGCCCATGGTTAGATTGACATGTCATCAGGACCTTAACAATATTATATTGACTGTGTGATCAATATTCTGTATGATATGGATGCTTGCTCAGTTAAGCCCCCCTATACTCAACGGGGTAGATGGTAGGTTCCAGTTAGGTAAGGCTGAGACTGTACAATGCTTTTCACTGGAGAAAGGGGGTGAAGTTTACCTCACAGTTTAATGTAAATCTGGTAGTCTCTTGTTTAATTTAGTTGTATTGTTATCTTCGGGTTTCATTTTTGTTTCAGTTAACTTTTAGTTAATAAATAACTCTTGTGTGCCACTGCTCCTGCCTGTCTACTTGACTTGGCAGCATACATGATCCTATTAACCAGAATTGACTTAATAATAGTGAAAATATGTAACAGTGCATTGCTTCCCCCCCCTCAGGTGAATTCCTGTGTTCCTGATTTGACCTGCTTTCAAACTCTAAATATGCCAGTCCCCTGACTCACACAAAAGCACCATCATTATGAACTCACCCTCTTCCAGAGTTCAGGCTTCATAGCAAGGCAGGAGCAGGCAGCAACAAACCAACAATTTCCCACAACTCCCTGGTTCAGGTCATGGGCGCTGATGCCCTCCACAAACAGGCTGGGCGCATTGCTGATCTCCTGTAGCAGAAAGGTGAATGTGAGTGTTGTTGTGTAATGATCATTGAAATCTTCTGCTCTATAATGTGTGTTCAATCTAGTAATTTAAAAAACAATCACTCATACATGCCACTTGTTATAGTAACATTAGCAGAAATAATATTTTACTCACAGCTGGTCGTTTCCACTCCACCAATCCAGGGGGTGGTTTCCTAAAATACAGCGATGAATTGATGACAGGGAACTCTGCGTCCTCAAACAGCGTCTTGTCATTGATGCAGTTCCTCTTCAGTTCAGCGTAGTGCTGGTTTTTGTACGGGACAGCAGAGGAGAACATGGTCCAGACGCTGACGCCTCACAGCTGCAGAGGGATGAGACACCAGGACCCCACAATGTTGATTAACTAATGCAAACGGTGCTTTTAAGAGACAATGTCATTTATAGCAAAACCTGAAACATTTATGTTCTTTAAAATAAAGCTGTGATTACATTACAGAAGAGTCCACAAATGGAAAGCTACATTTATTTTCCTCTGTGTTTCACTGTTACGGCTGTATGTATTCCCTGTTTCTTTTTCCCTTTGGTTCCTCTACCCAGGTGTGCTGCATTGCTGTAAAGAGGTTCAGACGAGGTGCACCTGGAGAAGGAAGTCCTTAAAAGCTCCAGTGCAGCAGCAGAAGAGGGGCAGTCCTCTGGTGTTGGGACTGCTGTGTTTCTGCTCTAATCCTGTGTAGTTGAACATGTTGATTATAATAAATCCTATAGATTTGATGATTTTAAAGGTGTCTTTTGTGTTCTATTTGGGTCAGTGGTGGAATTTTGTTAGCCCATAGGGCCATTTTAAGGGTGGGGCGTAACACTCACCAACACTAATGTTTGTCATTTACAGAAATCTTCAGGTGGAATTCAAACTCAAAATGTCTCTAAAGTTTTGTGTCATTGGCACAGTGTGGATCAGTTTGACCCAAACTGTCAAGTTCTAAAGAAAAACATGAATTGTGTTTAAAGCTGGATCTTGTCCCATAAAAAATGAAACTCTAACTCAGCTGTATTCTCTGGAGGAAGATGATTTATGAACTATTGATCTTTTTGTTCCTTTCTCACTGACCGGCTGCATTTGGACATCTGCCAATGAAATCATTTTTAAATAAATCTTTATATTATATATTTGCCAGGAATAACATACTATAGAGTACTGCATTTATTTAGCTGGAAGCAGAAAGAAAATTTGTGGAAGTTTGATGTTCACGAGAAGACGCCAAAAAAACATCTACCTCTTACAAGTCGAATCACTTAAAACAATCTCGGACAGACATGTTGTGTGAGGAGAAAGAGCAGCAAATGAAACAAATATGACAGGCAGAGAAAGAGTTGATGTTTGGAAGAGGAACAGCAACCATTTATAGATCATAAGATTTAGATAATACATTTTAAAAAGTACCTTGAAAAGAAAAGAAACAAGAGAAGAAGTAACAACAAAATGTACCTTAAAGATAGCAGTGTGATACTTATTCCTTCCTGCTCCACAAAAAGGAAGTGTCCAGGTGCTGTGCCTGCTGCACCGCCCTCCTACGCAGGGATTATTCAGGTGCATTGTTACCGCCACACCTTGAGTGTGTTTGTCTTTTCAGTAATGGATTATTTCACCACCCAGTGTTATTGTGGCTCTGGGTAAGGGTTTACACATGGTCTCTGTGAGTGTGTGTTATCTGTTTGAGAGTTCCTTGCTAATCTGGCAGGTTATTTTTGGTACCCTATTTGCTCTAAGCGCTGGGGAAGTTTCGTTCTAACTCTACATGACGACATATTTATTGTAATGCTATGTTTAATCTGTGTTGTATGGGTAAAGGTGACAGCAGCTCACATTCCAGACGTTTCGTCACGTGCCAGTATGTATGCTTTGAGGCAAGAGGAAGGGAAGTTCTCTAATAAGAAAGTATTAAAATGATGGTTAAAAGCACAATAAATTAAATACCATGAAACCACAGGGAAACAAACTACACGAGGATGTTAAAACTTGACTCAAGAAATCTTACTTGTAGTACTTAAAAAGTTAAAAGTAACACTCACCTGTAGCAGTCTTGTCCTTGTAGTGATGGGCTCAACCTTATTCAATGCTCACTAGGTTCCTTTTAGATGTGTTAAAATCAATCCCGCTATTCTGTCCTAAGATCTGTTTCTCCTTTCTCAAACCAAATCCAGTGTGTACTCCTGGCTTCGAGGGCTTTTCCAGACACGTTCATCTGCACAAACACTGCCTGAAAACTGGTCTGACAGGCTCCTCTCTGCAGCAGGAGGTGCTAAGCTAATGCTGATACTGTATGGGAGGGAAGGGGATACTGAAATGTTACACCTTCAGTCCCACCACCCAACCACTCATAGGTGAAACAAGCTGAAACCTGCCCTGTTTAGTGTCTGATCTTTCACAATTACATTACATTACATTGCATTTAGCTGAGCATTTACATGGGAAAACTCCCATTAAAGGTGGGAGTGGGATTGTTTGGTCTCATTTGTCTCTGGTAACAATGATTCAGAGGTGGAAGAAGTATGCAGGTCCTTTACTTAAAGTAGAAACACTACGGTCCTAAAATGCAACAATACTTGTGTTGTTTTGAAAATGTTACTTTAGAGAAGTTTTACCATCAACATGTGCTTTTAGTATCAAAAGTTCAATATGCACAATGGGTCTTAGCACAGTATTATAGTATAACATTCTGGGTAGATTTGTTGTACAGTACTGAATCATATAATATAAGCATATGACGTGTTTTATCATGTGTTAAATAAATATAGTAGAGTAAAAAGTACCCTCTTTCCTCTGAACTCTAGTGGGTGAAGTATACTTTGTTACATTCCACCACGATAAAATCTTCCAGTTGTTTCCAGCCAGAAGCAAGTCAAATTTAACCAACATAATTTATAACCCATGTGCTACCCTCATGCTGCAAGTGAACTGTATGAATACAAACTGTCTCTCAGCGGTCTGGGTTTTATTTTCAAGGAGGACAAAAGCCACTTTGTCTCCCTCTGAGAGACAAATCGTATCTGGAAAACTCCAGTTTTGATACTTGAATTCTTTTTTAGCAGCAATATGTCAAATCCTTGTAACAGCTAAAGAGACAGGAAGAAGAGCAAATTGAAGAAAATCATCTGGATCAGCAATGATACATATTTGAGAGGACCACTGCGACGTTTCAGATATGATCACAAGTTTGTGAGAAAAGGCATGTTTGGGAGGAGAAGAAACATGTCTAGTGTAGGACACATACCTGTTCAAAAACAAGACCATCAATAAAGGCTAACAATGTACAGTTGTCTCGTTTACAGTCAACATTGAGTTAATTGCAAAGTACAGGTTTAAAAGGGAAAATAAAATATGGTGTCATGGTGACACTAAAGGGAAACGGTCCAGGGGAGAGGAAAACGTCTCCTCGTGATAGTGTATATGTTCACAGAAAACTTTACACAAGTTAGTGGTTCTTAAATGGGGGTACGCGGACCCCTAGGGGTACGTTGCAGTACTGCAGGGGGTACGTGAGATTTATTTTATGTTAATGAAAAAAACAACATAAGTAATGCATTTAAACAAACTACTAATAGTAACTTCTTCATTCAAAGGTTTACAGTAATTCTGGATAATAAAATGGGGGAAATAAACGTGGTGCTCTCTTTTCCTCTCCCTCTCCTGACAGCCCGTCAGTCTCGTGCAGCTCGCTGAACCTGTGATAAGTGACCCGACAGTAAAGAATACATATATGTATAACTCGTTTAGCTAGTTCCAGAGTAGATAAACAAGCTAAGTGTGTATTTATTTAATTTTGCTCCACTCAAAGGTCAGTCACAGCGGCGGAGCTGTGATCATGCAGAGCTGCGTGTTCTCCGTCAGCAGCAGCTGATCTGATCTCTGATCTCTCTCTCGCGTCCGGTTATACTTCACTCCCATTTATGTTCAAATCTATCAGATCGAGATAGTTCTAGTTAATTATATGACTGCCTGCTTATCAAAGGACAACTAAACAATAAGCGTTGTTTGGCAACGGTGTGTGGCCGCAAAGTATAGCGCAGCATTATGCATATGTTTATATGAGGAATGAGGGGTCAAAATCCCATGCTCATAAAATGCTCATATATTTTTTTCTCTTCATTCCCCACGCCCCAAAATAAATAAATAAATATACCAATTTTGGGAAAAGTAAGGAAGTTTGAGCAGTGTGGGTTTTATATTGACAGACAGAGTTACACATATTTCAAAACGCGAAGTGTAATAACTGCAGTTTGCCTCCCTGTCACCGAGAATGACAAAGATCCTCAGTGAAGCACAAGCCCATGTTTCTCACTAAATTGTAAGTACAACTTATTAAAAAGATCAGTTCAATGCAACTAATGTCGTCTCTGTGTTATTGCATGATGTTAAAATTGGTTTGCCATTCATTTAGTGATGGATTGTAAACATTTTAAATGTAGCATTTAAGTGTTTCTCAGTTACAATGTTGTTGTTTTAATAAATCAGACACCGATGGTGCAGCGCTGTACTGTACCTCTTTATAGGCATTTTTCCCGGAACAAATTGTTTTTGCGCTGATCAGGGGGTACTTGGCTGAACTTTTTTTTCAAAGGGGGTACATGATTGAAAAAAGTTTGAGAACCGAGAGACATCTTGCTGATTGATGTTGCTCACAAACAAACAAAAAAAGAAGTGGCAGCCAATCACATCTCTTCTACCTTTTGGGCCCTGTATTTCTAGATATTAAAAAAAATATTTCAATAATTAAATGGTCAAATCAATATCTATATAAATCGTGCCTCAAGTCAGGTTCATGCTAACAGCCCAATTTCACAATGTGCCTCATTAATTTAGCCCGGAAGTGGCCAAATGAAACAGCTGTTGCTGCTTTATCATTCAATGGCAGTTTCGATTAATTGTATAGATACAGATGTATTACAGATTATAGTTTTCATTTCAAAATACCTTTTTAAATGTCTTTTTTTATTTAATAATGATGTAACCTCATGTGTCTTCCTCTGGTGCCACCCTGAGGACAAACTGTGCACTTCCAACCCACTGCTAATGCTTCAGGAATCACACTCTTATTGAGATGTTGTATATGGGAGATTACAGCATATTTGGGCTATTAGCAGAGATTAACACTTCTAACTGCGCTGTTACAAAAAATATGACAGATTTCTGCTTGTGCTCCAGCTGAGATCTGTCCCACATATTAACACTAGTCATGTCCTCTTTTTAAAAAATCCCTCACAGCCAAGACACATGCAGGTGTGATGTATAATGGATATACTGTGTTTGACCTATATCAGAACAGGAAGAAAAGGTGAAAGAGAGATATCTGTCCGTCCAATATTTGGGAACATTAAACAATTTCTCTTGAAGCGAGAGGTCAGTGATCTTAAACCATTAATGTCGTCATATGAGATCTGAAAGGGATGCAGACAAGAAGGAAGTGGATTGACCGTAAAGCATTTGGAACAAGGGGGATATTATCTAGGATAAAATAGATAGTAAAGTAAACAATTTAAACAAATATGCTCAGGATGTTCTATCATATTCATCCAAGATTAAATCATATTCACAAATATTGATAAGACCTTTCCAGACCCATGCTTCTACCAATCAAATCCTCTTTCTACTTAGCTGTTCTTCTACTATTGGCATGAATTTAACGGATGTCCCCGCCATATTTACCATTCGAAGATCAAATGACAACATGTCTCATAAATGATCCTTTTGGCACACTGTCTTATTGCATGCTTGTTTGTTTTGAGTGATATTACATATTTTATTACACCTAAAATACATTTGAAACAAGATGATGAAAGAGCGATGAAGGAGCTGCTTAAGATGAAGAATGGTGTTTAATTAGAGCTGATAAAAACCCAGACAAAAGCCACACCTGTGACATCATGCAGACTCACTTCAGTGGAAACTTTAAAAGGCAGTTATAGAGAAAAGTTTTACTGCTGATGTTTTTTAAGCTCTTAACAAAGGGTGATTTTGCATGGGTGATTGTAGGAAAACCGACATCACCTCTGTTAAACATTTACAGTGTTTTAATTGCACATTTACAGTAGGAGATATAGTGACTGATAACCACATTTTAGTTCCCGTTTACCCTTCTTTGTGTTTGGCAGGATGCTGATCTAAAAGTGGATTTTCGCTGAGTCAAAATTCAATTTTAAAGGTCCCATGTCATGCTTTTCCGGTTATTACCCGTCCCCTTGTGTGTTATGAAGGTTTTTATGCATGTAAACGGTCTGCAGAGTCAAACACCCTCAAAGTACACCCTGTAGCAAGTAAAACTCTAACACAGAAAATACCTGTCTATGCTGCCCCAGAACGCCTCGTTGGAGATTTCTCTTTTTCCATTTGTTTCGGAACCAAAATGGACCAATCCGCGGAGCTTCTCACACACCAGGATCCCTTGGCGTCACTATCAAACGCAGTGGGGGGACCTTTAGCGTACATTTTCAACTAACAGGGAGTCCCATTGACTTGCATAGAGCTCCCTGGTCGATAATAGACGAGTTGGGATCGCGGAGCAATGCTCTCCGCAGACCCATTCTCACAGCGTTTATAAACCTTTTTCTTACTCAATATCAAGCCACACTTATTGTTTTTACTTCGGCTGTGAGTGTTTGTGTGTGCTCAGGATGAGTCTCGTTTGTTCTCGCTGTATCGCTGACCCGGAAACCACACCAGTAAGCCAGCTCACTGAGCAGCGAGCCTCGCAACATCCCGACCAATCAGAGCACACTGGGCTCACAGGGAGGGGGAGGGGGTTGGGGGGCAGGAGCTCCAACAAGCTGTTTAGGACAGAGAGTGAATACCGGTGAATACACATACTTTACAGAGATGCTGTATGAGAAACCAATGTGAGTTTGGAAAATTGCACAATATAAATCTATTTTAGTATACCTCAACAATGGAATTATAATCAGTAGAAATGGCCATGACATGGGACCTTTAATGGAATTTAAATTATGTATGTGAAGCTTTAACTCCCTGCCAGTAGATGGCAGAACTTCTTTAAGTGTAATGTGTGTCTTTCAACTAAAAACGAACTTAAAGCCCTGCACCAGAGGCCGCCAGACTCACTATGGTCAGTGTTTGTTATAGCAGATAGAAGAGCACAATGCAACAATGAAAACATGCTGCTATACTGCTTAAAGGGCTGTAATGAAATCTATAGTAAGACTTTATTTAAATGTAACTTCTGTACTCCAACTTGGCACATGTTTATGAATGTGATGATTATAAATGAACACTACTTCTATATTTCACATTATATACTTGTGGGGATGTATGTATTATTGGGTGCTTATGTGAGCAATTTAGTCAA